GTCACGGCAATCTTGCAGCCATGGCAAGCTGTCCTTGCCCTTCAGACCCCAGGCGTGAACACGAGCCAGGAGACTGATCAATGCTTCAGCTTGACGTCTCCTTAGTTTCGGTGCTTCGGTTCCACGATTCCACGCCATACAGGCCGTTATTCTTCGTGGTTTCAGCTGCGTTTGGCGCGACTCAAGCAAGTCCAGGTCATTCCAAGGCTCACAAGTCCAGAATTTGAGCCGGTGCGCCAACCATCCTCACCGTTGATAGGGCCAAACAGAATCACAATCCCTCATGGACAGCCTTTGAGTTGGTTGAGGGGTTGTTTCAATGTTCCTGATCTGAACTCCCGAGAATATATATTTAATCTAATATATGTTATTATTTCGCTACATGGCCTTATCAAAGCCTGGGAGGGGCCTTACCACAGGCAAGATCACAAATTCTGGAACTCCTTCACAAACTCCAGCACGATCACAGACATGTCAGGGCGAATCTCAACTCCACGCAAATCCAGCAAGCCCACGCCGAAGTCGTGCAGCTGTTGCCATGCAGTTTGATAGAAGAGTGCCTCCTCACATGAAACATTGTTCGTGTCCTACTCTCTTCCGAATCTGTTAAAGCCATCCATGGAGCATCACGGATCTTCACGGCACGTGATGTCATCAACTCCCCAAGTCGAAAGAAATGGAAAACTGTAGCGCAAGTGGCAAATTGAGTTGCCCTATGAATGGTCTACATTAATTTGGCGGATTTTGTTTTTTTGGTTGTGAAGGTCACATTGCACATGAAGTTTGGGTCCTACGGTCACAGAATCAGGTTTTCGTGTTTCGTGAGCTTGCGGCTGAAGATGGTGACGGTGTAGCCACAAAAAACATATTCAACGTTTGCACACTTCAGCAGCTAAGCGGCCCTGTCAACCAAGGCTGCCAGAGCATCGGCCGCAACTTGGCGTGTGACCTTGAGCATGAGCGTGTCTGTCTTGCATTGAACTTTCACCAGAGTACTTGAAGAGTTGCCCTCAGCTTCGAGGACATCAAAGTGTTCAATGTTGAGCTGCTGGCCAACCAGGGAGGACAGCCAAGCATCTGTGAGAAACTCCCAGCACTCCATGGCTGGATATGGGCAAGACCTAGTCGCTGTTCTTGCCTGCCTGCCCACATACATACAGCTGCACTATAGCTCAATCTCTTGCTTGCAATGCAAAGTAAAAACGTTCTCACACTCTTAAATGTGGGGCCGCGACTATTCTGGACATGCTTGTGAACAAAACTTCCGTGCTGAAATGCGGATACCCAAACGCCACATTCGTTCTGCAGTGGGGTAGAATGGTAGAACCGGAAATTGTTTGATGCATTCAAAGCAAAGCAACCTCAAATTCCCTCTCCCTAAGATCAACCCGCGCCGGTCACAAACCAAAAGTGTATAAGCTTGATGAACAATGAGCTGTATATATTTTGTAACTAATTAATTGTATATGTGTGCCAACGAATCACCAACATATATATATATACAACAATTAATAACAAGCACACAGCATCACACAGCACGAAACCAGCCTCTGCCAGCTGATCAGCAGGGCGACCCACACGCTTGACCTCTCCGGGCACCCAGAACATGTGCAGGAAAACAATCAAGCAAACGAATAGAACGCCACCCACCAATCAGCCAACAACGTCAACATCCCATCAACCGTGCCCAAACCACAAAGAACAGAATGCATATGAATCAATCATTTTGTTGAGGTCCCCGTCCTTGCCTGCCAGTAGGATCTCCTCATCAAAAGCAGCAGGATCTTTCCCGGTGCCAGGAATTGCTGCCCTGCGTGGTGTTTAACGATGCGACTGTGTCTATTTGCAGACCAGTGGTTTCACATCGTTGGGATTGCCATGGTGGTGGGCTGCAATCAATATCCACAGATAGACCATTTCTGCGATGTCTGGTCATACATGGTCCCCAATTGAATGGAGAATCGTTTGCCATCAGGGTCTTCACCTTCTGCCCACTCTTCTGCCCCATCTGTTTGGAGGCCATCGACATACCGTCCAGTGCAACCTGAACGGGCAAGTGCTTAGGGAACTCTCTGTGGCTCCTTGTCACCCCTGTTTTAAATACGGACGTCTGCGTACCCTGAGCTACTTAGGCTTCCTCCGAACACCCGGCTACTAAATGTGACAAACTCCCTTGATGGTTTTGGAACACTTTGGTGGCATTGTAGGATGATCTAAATACCGTGTGGCAAAAGCCAGCCTTGTCTAGTACAGTAAATCATCTACAGTAATGTCATAGAGCGATGGTCTTACGGTCTTACTTTATCTATCTATCCTTTATAGCATGGCTAAGTGTCATTTGGATTTGGTGAGTTGATTCGTGTTTTCCATATCCCTCAGGTGAGCCTGCTTTGCCTTTCCAGCACAACATGAGTTTGAGATCCCATGACTACTCACCGGTAACCATATAGGTCTTTGATGGTCTTTGGATGTCTTTTGCAAAGCAGAGGGTCCTACACTGGAAACGTTCTCATCAAGGAGCTAAACACAGTCTTTTCGCCAGCGGTGGTCCCTGGTCCTGCTGTAACATTCCACAAAATATGTGAAGACCACCAAAACAAATCAAGAGGAAACCATTGAACCACACCTTAAAAAACTAACAATGGAAGTCGTAAAAAAAGAACACCCTGATTTAGTGGCAGAAAACAATTAATGAACAATAAACACTTGCTTTCAATAGAGGAAAATCCTCCTTGTTTTGGGCCCCTGTTGTATCAAACCATCTTTCTTGCAGCAAAGCTCCGAAAGCTCCGGAAAAAAGAAAACGAGGGCGATCGGTGTACCTTTCAGACTCACGATCTTCGCCAAGCTCTGCAAGTCGGAGACCTGCTTCCTGTAGCGAAGTCGTGTTTCTGGGCGAGTGTCTCAGGGTGCACTTGGAGCGAACCACTATACCATACAGAAGCCAACGTTCTTGGAACAATCTCTCTATAGATTCTATAGATAGAGAGAAACATATACATACATACAAATATATATATATATATACAGTCATATAAATTCAGTCTATATATATATACACACTGTACTTCTATGTATATGATGTATAATACATATGATGGGCCTTTGAGGGTTGTTTCATCTACTTAGAATCTACTTCGGAATGAAAAGACTTGGATCATCTCGGACCTTTCGGTTTTCTTTGTTTCTGAGCATTTGTTCAACGGCCCATCGCATCCAAGCGGCTGCAGGCTCTTCCACTCGAGCTCCGCCCATTGACTTCGCGCCAGGACACTGCGGACCTCACCCACCGCCCGGACGTGTCCGGGCCCAGTCCGAAGATCCAACGCTATCTTTAATAAAGCCAAATATGTGGGAAATCCTGCGATTTTTATAGTTCGCGTGGTTCAATGCTATGTTGTTCCACCTTGTGCAAAAATGCAGGTGGAAACGACGATGTTTCACCATCAATGTAGACTCTTGATGAATCAATACAAGCATATACAAGCCCATTTGGATGGCAAAACCGTCTCATAGGGTGGACTTGCATCAATCAAGAGTTGATACATTCCGAATCATTATGATATTTAAGGATAGTCACCAGATAGTACAACCCTTTTGGAACACCATCCCCACCAAACCCCTGGGTCGCCGTCCGCTCCAACGTTCCGGTCGAACCCGTTCATTCTCCGAGCGGCGAAGCTCTGGAGCTTCACCGCCGCCGCCTGGCGCTGGGCCTCGGCCTCGGCGTCCTGAGCACAGCATTCAAAGAAATTGGGCCTTAAGCTGATGTGCATTCATTAGTGGCGTGTGGCGTATGCACTGGCGTATGCCATGCGTTTTCACGCATGATCTTCATGATCTTCATGGATTTTTGAGAGAAAACCAGAATGGCGATGCCATGAAGGGGCATGTGACAAGGCAGGACCTGTGTCATGTTTGTGTCATGCAACTGTGGTGCCGAAAAGTCTGAGGTATCAGGTATCATGAGGCATCTGGCCACTGAGCCCGATCCCATTCCCAACATGTTTGCCCAAACTCCTTGGCATTGCTCTGCCGAAGCTTTTCACGCTCCTGCAGAAGTTTGGCGGATCTGTGCCACTGTGACCACAAGAAACAGCGCTGCTGCTTGCAGCCGCTGCGGCTGTTTAGCGCGACAAACAAGTGGATTCTTGAAGCGCAGCAGCACGTCAAGCGAGTTCCTACCGTCTCTGCGAAAGATGATCCCAAAAAAACCGCGGGTAGGGACAATGCAACTCATCATCTCATCAGTTGCAGGACTCCTGCCGCTTCTTCTCCAAATCATGCAGGAGAGCAGCTCTGGACGACATGGCGCCCCCGGCTGTCAGGCCACATTCTGTTTTCAGTTCTGTTGGTCGCCCAAGTCTTAGCAGTTCTGGTAACTGCTTGATGGGCAAAGCCCAGTTCGCGGAGTTGGTTGGTGTTATCGATTCAGCTGAAGAGTGGCTCTACACTCTGCCAATTCTCGCCACCACGGGTCTTCAGACTGTTTCAATTTCAATGATTTGCGTTTCCGGGAGCCTAAGCACCCAACCCAAACACGATGACACATCTCTCTCTCTCTCTCCCCTCTCTCGCTCTTGAGTCTAACAGGTCTTCGGCGCTGTTTGTTGGTGAGTAGTGGGAGTCAATCTTGGCTCTGCTTCTGTTGCGCTTGATGCGGACTTGCAACCCATGTGCGACTCACTTAAAGCTCACTTGTCCAAGGGCAAGAGGCAAAGGCTTCCCCGCCTACCCAAACAAATTCCGGTCATTGACAACCAATGCAGAAAACAACAGCCCATCACCTGTCTTCTGCCGTCGAAGTGTCTGTGCCAAACCTAGTCACAAGCCTCGAAATCAAGAAGAACACTCAAGAAGAACACCCAAAAAACAAAAGCCCTATAGGGTCTGTTGCATTCGGCTGTATACCACCCCAACTTGTCCATCGGATTCCATCCCTCCAAAACACTTCGTGGGTCTCACCTTCCTGCTGTTTCCCGCATCTTGGAGCTCCCAACTCCTGCGTCTTGGAGCTCGCGTTCCGCCGTCAAGGTCCTCTTGAGCTGGAGAATGTTGGAACGCACACAAATGCGAACACGCCCTGAAACGGTTCAGTGCGCGAAAAGCCGCCAAACAGCCCTGGTAGTGCTCTTAATCGTTGGAGGTTGTGATTGCGCAACAGACCAGGTTCACCTGCCAGATTCATATAATAGGTGCCGTGTATATATATATATCAGTCACTTTGGCATTCCTGGTCATCCTTTGACAGCCGCATAGGGGCAAGGCAATCCAAGAACCTGTAGCACTTTCAAGTTGTCCTCTCCTGGATTTACGCGGAAGAAGATCAATAAGTCGCCAGATTGGTTTAAACACATCAAATCATAATCGATCATACCGTTCGTATCCGTTCGTCTTTTCTCCAAGTGGCTCCTAGATGTTCTCACCCCCATATATATATATATATAGTGCGATGTGTTCAGCACCCAGCAGTTCTCCCAAACGTCTGCGATGCAACGGGCGCATTACAAACCTATATTATAACTATATATATATGATAAATACATCTACAGGCTAAGCATTAACATGGATGAACAAGGGATTAACATGGGCTCCTATCCACCGACCAAAATTCCCACCAACCACTGCTTCCACCACCCGCCACTGGGTCGCAGCGAGGGGTCCTGAGCCTTGCTTCCGCCTCAGCCAGGCTGCCGCTGTCCACCCCTGCCACCTGGGCCTTGGACGATTCGGGCGGAGATTCGGAGATTGGACATGATTGGACAATTCACCCAGTCAGTGTTCATAATTTCTCAAAATAACCTTAAAGACTCACACTTAACCAGTGTTATTCACAGTGCACTCTCTTCAAACAATGAATGCCGTTTGTGCTCCTGGGTGGGAGCACTGAAGAAATGGCCAGCAACTGGCTTCACAATGTCAGACACAACTCTACCGTCTACCCTTTTTCACAGTTGGTTCATGTACCTCACCTCTCCATGTAGACATCATGTAGGCCCACTTGAGACCGCTAAAGACTCCCCTAAAGACTCCCCTAAGACCCAGCTGACTCAGCTGACCCAGCTGGCCACGTTTCAGCTCAAAAGACTCAGCACTGCCCAGCAGGCGCACCAGGCGGAGAAGGTGCTTCACCCCCACCAAACGTGACTGCTTTTTGGCCAGTAAACACGTTGGCTCGGAAGGATGCGGCATCCAACACGTCCCCAAAGTGGAGAAGTTGAACATTGCCAGGCGTCTGCGATTTCGACACCACAAACACCACAAACACGCTGCAAGAAATGAGTAGATTTGAGCCGGTGACTGGACAAAACCTGGGTGGGTGGAGGCAGCATTTTCCAGGTCTTGGTAACACTCACATCCACACCTCCAGATCCCCAGTTGCCAGCTCCAATTCGTTTCCCCCACCTCTGCAATGGCCAATCTCAAGGGGCCTTCTTCATGCGCCTGTGAGGCATCTTTGTCGGCAGGCCGGTCCACAGACCAAGCCAAGTGTTGGGAGGGGATCAGCCTGAGACCAAACCAATGGACTGGACACTGAAAACCATTGAAAACCAGTGGTTTGTCATTTGCTGGAGACACGGTCAAAGAATGTCGAAGCAATCCTCAGCTTTAGCCAATCAAAGGGTGCCAAACATGGGAAGATTGAAGTTACAAACCAGGCCCTAATTTGATCTTCCAAAAAGGTTTGTATCAACACCTGTGAAGTGACAATTTCAGTGCATCCAATGGAGAAAGACTCAGCTAAGGCAGCTAAGGCAGCTTCAGCGCCTCCTTCAGAGCATGTTTGCAGAAAAATCTGTCGTAGGCGAACTCCGCCTGATTGGCGAAGGGCTCCAGCGGCACATCTTCGAACCAAAAGTGGTCCATCTTCCAACCCACTGGTGCCTTCCTCCACACATGGCAGTCTTCATCCCGTTCCACACTCCACCCTAAGAGGCTGGCTGCATCCAAGTCGTTCAAATCTACGCCGGCCTGCCAATGACAGGGGGTCGATTTGGGGCACAAAAGGGAGTACAAAGTCTAAGCTCTCAGACCTATCCATGAGATCCTGAATGTCTCACGCGATCTCACACGCCATGACATGTGCGATCCCAGGAGCGCCATGCGATCCCAGGAGCCTCTGCACCTGAAAGGGCGCAAAGCCAGACTCCATGTCTGAAAGAGGCGCCGAAGGTGTCCTGTTCATCACTGAAAACAAGCTGCTCAACGAGCAGCCACCGTTCCTTTGGGAACGAAACGGCATCCGAAGCGCCAAATCCTCTGAAGTGATAAAAATTGTGGCTCCTCTGTAAAATATCATCAAGACTGACTTCGCAGTTCCACGGATCAAACATGGATCGAACGTGAGGCATCTCCGACCTCGCACTCGTCCGGAGGAAGCCCCACAAGTGAGAGTTTGTCAACCTGCACGGCGCACGGCTTGAGGAATGGTGTCGTGGACTTAAGGGGGAGGGCGAGAAATTGACCTCGCCGCTAGAATCCCAATGCAGGTGTTGAATTTCGACCGGCTTCCCAGTATGGAAAAAACATGAATAAAAACACCACTGTCCACAAGTCGCATATTTGTTGCACCAGCCAAAGCAGGTGAGCTTAGGCTATTACCTCGGCGCGCGGGCTGTCCATCGCGCGCGTCGGTGGAGCCGTGGACATGAGCCTCCTGGATGCAATCGCCGACCTTCAGGAGCGGCTGGCCTGGTTTGGGGTCCACCACCTGGTCATCCGACAGCAAAGGCTCACTAGACTATCTGCAGTTGGGTGAAGGTGTTCATGTGAGTCCAGCAGCAGGGTATGAGATTAAGTGAAGGACTTTAGATTCTGCGACTGTGGGGTACAAGAGAGCAAAACGTCTAACAAACATGAGCACAAGTTCCTTGCAGCTTGCGGCTTGCGTTTCCTCATGCACCACGAGGAACATCATGCCCTGTCCGCGAACAAAACGAACATCACTGTCCAGGCCTCAACTACCATGCCCCATTTTGTAGGTTGCAAAATCATACCACAACCTCGGCCCAAGTGTCTTTGGATGTCTTTGGGTCATTCTGGGTCCATGGTTTCGCCAAATGGGATGCGGCGGACAGATATGTTCTGTCAAAAACCATCACCAACATTCACGACTTGAGGTCATGGTCGTCCTGTTCGTCTTTTTGGACCACTAACCAGTGAATCAGCTCAAGTGAGTTGAACCCACTCATGATGGACGTCCTGTTTCGTCCTGCTTGGTTCTGTAGGTGTGTGTGTGTGTGTGTCCACCCCTGGACAAAGGGCTCTTTACCACCACCTCGTTACGTTTCCGGCTAAGTAACCACATGTCCACGTCTTGCAGCTAAGTATTCACAGGCCGGGCATTTACATGCATAGGCACACACACAACCCCCCCTACCCCTGGGCCTCGTTGCTACCCCACCCGCTTTTCGGGCAACAGAAGGAAATCGCACTCAACACACTTGTGTGTTGGTGCCTTTCCTTCTGTTTCTCCTAGCTATTGCTAGCTACCCGGGCGGTTTAAGACAAAATGTCCCGCTCGCACTCTACTTTCATTTAACTAAGTGGGCCTCGTAACTACACCTATCTTTCCTTCTTGCCCTCTTAGTCTGCTTTTGTTTTGTTTACTTTTTCTGTCTTTCTAAGGCTTTTTAGGTCGCTAGTAGTCTTCACAAAACAAAACGCGCCAATATTGGCGCTATATGTACAAAGTTTTGCGACCGGTGGACACCAACGACGCTACTAGGGGCTTCTGGCCTCGCTATCAGGAGCCAGGACCTCCGACCTTTCTACAAGGTGTAAGGACGCTACTAGGGCCCCTGGCTTTGCTACTAAGGCCTCCTGGTATCGCTACTAACTTACAGTCTCTCAACGCAGAAAAAGAGGCAGGGGGCACAGGCCCATCGTGGATACCTGTGCCAACGAAGCTGTTCCACGATGGGGGATGCGGAGATTGATCACCTCCGTGTACCTGCTGAACGGTTTTTTTCAAGCTGTCACTCCACTCTTCCACGGTTTGATTCATGGTGGTTTCGCATGATACCTTCCCCACAAACAGGTTTTTCCACCGCAGCTTTCAGCCGCTTGTTGTTTTGCCGCCGCAGATTTCAGCCGCTGTGAAACAACTGTTCAACTTTCAATTGCTCGGACTTATGCAGCCTTTCTGTTCCCTCACCTTCCTTCTCAACGTGGTAACTGAGTCACTGAAAACCAATGTCAGAGTGTGT